AAAAAAAAAAATAAAAATGGGACCTTTTTTTTTTTTTTTTTTTTTTTTTTTTTTTTTCTAATGGAAATAAATATTTTAACACTTTAATAACACGAAGGCCTTTGGAGCACGACTCCATATACAGATGATGTCATGCTGAACTGCAGAGTACAATTAATTTATTATAATATATATTCATATATTTCTAATATTAATATAGAATTCAGTTGGACTTGTGCTCACATAGAAAAGTGAGATTTCCAGCTGCTTCTATTCACTACTGTGGTTTTACAGCAGGCGCTACGCGGCTGCCTGGCCTTTTATTGTGTCTGAGAGAAACACGAGTGCAGACGCTTATTTGCATCAGAGCAACGACGCTGGTCAAAACCAGAGGAGAAACGATGCTTGCCTGAAGGCTGGTGGAGTTAAAGTTATGTCTCCATGTTTGTTTCTCTCCCAACTGGGAAAACCCCCATAAATTTCTTCAACATATGAACTTTTGTTTTATATTGAAGCCACAGTTTGGTATTCCCGGCTTCACATTTTCAATCATCGTTAAGTTTAAGCTGCATTCTCTTTGATTTATGTCATTTGCATGTTTTATTTAATGATATTCTACTTTTTTTATACTTACTAATGTGGATAAGAAGGCTGAATTCAATCAAAAATATGAAATATTCTAAAGTAATTCCCCTAGGAAGTGTGAACAGTACACAGGTTTCATTTTTGGTTTGTTTTGGCCTTCGTGCCTCAAGCCAGGCGTTCTGCTCTACGAATGAAGAAGTGATTTTTAAAATATCATCAAACTATGCATGGATTAATGCTGCCATTTAAGGAATTGAAAATCAAAACAACCTATTACCCATGCATGCAAAATGCAATTTGAAAAACAAATGTGATGCCGACATTGAGTAGAAATCAGTCGAAATATGAGAAACCGAAACTTTTACTAGCAGAGTGCAGAAGAATAATTCTTTAGTCAAGAACGTAGCACTTCTGAACACATTTTTGGCTTCCCACAAATAAATAAATGTGATTCATTTTACCAACATTACAAACAATTCTCTGTACAAACCAAACACTCTGCAAATAAGGATGTTCTGATGGATATAGAGTCTCATTTCAAAACATAATACATTCAATGGCATGTGTGTGCAGTTAATTAGCACGCAATGTTTGATCAGTATTACATGATCTTCATTAGCTTTGTGATAGCGTAGCTCATTGTTCAGTCTCCAATGACGTTCATGTGTCATCCCTTATTTGTTTTTATCGGCTTACGTTTTGTTCAAACACCAATGCTGAAATAATCACAGAATAGTGAATGGTTGTTGTTAAAGAAATGTTCTGATCTGCAGGATTTACTAGGTTTTATGTCTATTAACTGCAAGGACTAATAAGATTGGGCAAATTTGTTATCGCAGCGTCATAATGAGGTTTAATTTATAGAACTTGATGTCATTTGTGGTCTATAGTTAAATGATCACGCACATTATGAGTGTTTGATTTACACTCCTGCTGCTCTTGCGTTTGCTTTTTTATGATTTCTTTTCCTTTCTTTTCCACAAAGCAGTTTTTTTTTTTTTTTTTTTTGCATTTGTTTAAAAAAAGTGTAGGAGTGGTATCATTGTTGCTCAATTGTAATAAAATCAGGAACTAAAACAGACAGGAAATAAGCCTGACCTACATTTAATTTCCTACTGAGTTTGGACTTATTTGGAAGTAAAAACACAAACGTGTGCTACTAAAGCAAGTTCAACTGCAAACATTAACAGCAGATTAGCTGCTAAAATGTACATTTCTGCATTTATAAACTTCTATAGTTCTAATTTAGCTCTTCCATTGCCTCCTCGTATAACATCCCATTTGTTTTTTTGTTTTTTTTCTCTTTCTCCAACTCCTTGCCCCATCATCACCCACTCGTCCACTCTTGTGTGTCTTGCAGTCTAATCAAAGCAGGAAACAAACCCCCTCCAGCCACGCCAGGCAAGCCAAAGAAAGCCACCACCTTCCAGGAGTTCGAGAGCATCACCAGCGACGCCTGGGACGTCGGCGACGATGACGACGAGCTGCTGGCCATGGCTGCACAGAACCTTAACATTGAGGTTGTCATGGAGACGGCAAATAAGGTTGGACGGCGTTCACTAGATGTTTTCCCGCTTGAACCAAATACTTTGGTTTAGTTTGATGGTTTTGATCAGGTGTAGAGGTTTTAACTGTTTACACACTATTAAAACAACCACTAGGGTGTCTGCATATCCTTAAAAAGTAATAAAGCATTAAATTGTCTTAAATGAAATAAAAAGTGTCCTTAAATACATTAATCAGAGGTCTTAAATTTTGAACTGACAGCAGTATTTAATAGCGCCAATAAAATCCAAAATAAGACTTTCAATCAGGCAAAAGGTTGAGTCGCCTACAGACGACTTCTGTACTCAAGATGGCTGAAGCTACCTTCAACTAACTCTAATTAGCTGCTGATAACAAATTTTACTGGACGATAAATAGTGTTATTGCGATAAACGATAGTGTTGTTTTGAGACCATTTTCAAGTAACATTATTGTAATGGCATAATTCTCATATTTCAAACTTTCAATTCTAATGAACATTTAACACTGGAACTGGAAGACATCTTAAATATCCAAAATAAATAAACACCACAACAGAAACGTCAAATAAAATGAATTATGAAGTCTAAACTTTTGTGAACAAAATTATCGTTCAAAAAAAGGTGATTGTTGAGCTCTGGCACCAGGCTTAAATATTGAAGAATTTTATTTAAACAAAGTTGTTACTGTGGAGGGAAAAAGGGTCAATATCTATTGCTGATCTCACAAGTAGTACATTCTTTTTTACATTTCCGTCAAGGTGCAGGTCTTACATTTCACTTATTAGAGTCTTAAAACATATCTAAAAGTCTTTCCAAAGTGCTTTTATTTCCCCAGCCTTTTTTTCGCTCCTCAGCGTTGCTCATTGCTTTCCTGTTCTCCGCGCAGGTGATTGAGAATCACAGCAAGCAGCAGGAGAGACAGAGGCAAGACGACACGACGGAGCCGGGTCAGGGAGAGGAAGACGCACAGGAGGAGGTGGCGGCGGAGGAGTTGGAGGAGGAAGATGAGTATCTCAGAGTGGAGGAAGTAGAGGCAATCAGTCCTGATGCATCATTTGCCTCTCAGAGCAGCCCTTACGCTGATAGCCGTCTGGTGAAATCCCACAGTGAAGCTCCGATTGGGTCACCTAGAGGTGAGTGAACAACACACTTAATCTACAAAAGGGTTCTTTTTTCCACACTCACCTGTTTGAAATGATTTGGACAATAAAGTTTGAACTTAAATATACATATTTGTTAAACTAATGCATAAATGAACTGATGGGTGATACAAATGCACACTTAAAAAGGGATAAAAATGTTTGTTTTTTCCAGCATTTAAAGCATCCTTAGAAAGTCTTAGATGCATGCATCTAAAATTAAGACCTTTAAATGTTTTAAATTCATTTAATAAAGTAAGTTGGCCTTTAATAAGTTAACCATAGTCCTGTAAAGACAAAATTTATCTGATACATTCTATTATTTTATTTTATTTTTGTCAGGCAAAAGTTTGAGTCACACTCAGACATAAACATTATACATTTACTTATGTATATGATTTCTATGGTTGAGGCTACAGCTAACTCAATGCTATCATACCCATGCTAGCTAGCATGGGTCTAGCTAGCATGGGTATGCTAGCTATATCCATTTGTGCCTATCTTGGGTAAGTGCAAATTTATCAACATTTGGCTGGATGAAGTTTGTACATGTTTGTGGAGAAATAGATCTTAAATTCCTTTCATGAGGGGCTTAAAAAAGTCTTAAATTTGAGTTGGTGAAACCTGCAAAAATACTTTAATGAATCCTGTGCCTGAGGCAAACAGATATCCAAACCCTGCAGAAACATAATAAAATATACTAATGGAAATAAATTAAAAAGAAAAAGTAAAATCCTGCTCATTTATCTGCACTTCACCAGCGAGATAAAGGAGGCAGCACATGCCTTAATAACCCATCTGTGTATTTCCTCCTACTAATTTGAGAAATTAACCTGTTATATTAAACTAAAAAACATGGTTTAAGGTAGCATACATCTTAAATGACTCCCATCTTCCTGCCTCCTTTTGATCAGTTATCCGTTTTAACCAACAGCTTGATTTAATCTCATAACGTATCCTAGCGTGACTGCAGGAGTTGCTGTGTCACCAGACGGGACATTTTCCAAACGCCATATTTGTCTAGAGGAGGATATAAAGCCAGTTGGTGCGGCGGTGTGTCCGCCGTTGGCAGATGCAGATGTTCTGCCTGGTGAACATGGTGGCAGACCGTTTGCCTGGCTGTCTGGGCATCTGCTGTTCAGACTGCTTCTGCTGTTCGGAGACAGATCGCACAAGCATCCCCTTTACCTCCTGGCAGTTTAGACAGAGCCAGAGACACAAAGGGCTGCATAAGCTGCAGTGTTATTTTCTTATTATGGACTGTACTGCCCATAATTTGTCTGTTTTCCTTCCTCTCCTAATAGAAATGATTAATATAGTGCGCTGTGACAACATGTAAGCTTTAGCTACGTTCTCCAGCCGTTTTTCATTAAAGAGAATTTTCAAGATTGTATAAAGTATTGTTAAATGAGCTCACTAAGTTACAGAAAAACCGCTGCCTGCTTTAATGATCTTTTTTAATTTTTCTAAGTGCAAATAAAGCACTTGAGAACAGATTTGTGGCCTTTTATTTGTTCCTGTAAAAAGCAAATAAGATATTAAAATCGGCTACGCGCCAGTCCTCCTAATTGCCATGATGCGTTTGTGTAACTCTGCCTGCAGTAGAAGTGTTGCGGTTTTGTTCCAGCTCTTGGCAGATTGCCCGTGTGTGAACTTCAGTAAGTGTGTATCCTGACAGAAGGAAGATGGCTTCTAATGTGAAAGTCTGGAACAATCTGGCTTGATTTCTGTCCCTTTGCGTATGTTTGACCTGTGTGGAAACATGTGACGCCTTGTAAACAGAACGAATGAATGATAGAAGATGATCTTTTTATGAGATGCTTCTACATATGTCACACCTGGGATAGAAACTATTTTGAAACTAAACCATAAACTTTGCAAAAGGTTTTCCTAACCCTTGGACATTTCCACATTTTATCATGTTGCAACTATAAACATCAATTTATTTTATTGGGATTTTATTGAATAGACCAACAAAAAGTAGCACTTCAACATTGTACCTTTGCTCTAATAGCAGAAAATGAAATCCAGCAAAATGAAGTCACATTTTTGGAGTGTGCAACATGTGGATGAATTGTCACACCTGAGCTGAGTTATCGTAGCCATCTTGACTTTTTATTTATAAAAAAAAATGTTTATAATATGTAGGATTGCAAGTTATTTTACCGGTTATTCTGATACGAACATTGATAATTTCAATAATCGATTAATCACAATTAATCCGATTAATTGTTTCAGCCTTTGAAATATGTATGATTTTCACTCTTTGTGTTGGTTTATCACACAAAATCCCTGTAAAACGCATCGAAGTTTGTGGTCGTAATGTGAAAACCTTCACAGAGGAAGAAAACAAGTCGCTGTGCAACGATCTGCCGGCTATAATTAAGTTCCACTTACAGCCGGCAAAAGGTGTCCGCATTATCTGAAATAGCTCTGGGTTTACGTAACCGGTCTCTTTATCTCGTCTCCATCCCTCAACCAGATGCAGCGGGCGAGCGCCCCGGCCTCCACAGACAGAGGTCTCTGCCCCATCGGCCGCCCGTCATCCCATTAGTGGCTCGCATGGCTGACCAGAACACATCTGGCACCCCGGCCATGACCGAGAGGGAAGCATCCCGCCTGGATAAGTTCAAACAGTTGCTGGCGGGGCCCAACACAGATCTGGGTAAGCGATAGTCAAAGCCAGCAGCCTCCACTTATCTGTCAGAGTCTGCGTCGCAAGCCTTTCGGTCACCACGGCCGTTCCGACTATCTCATTATTCCTCACTAATTGTCTGGTTTTTATCCTTTTCTTTACCTTTTTAAAAGCTCTCTCTCTCTCACTTCTTCATTTCCTTGTATCCTTTGCTTTTCACTCCGTCTGCCAGCTGTGCTGAGCTATTAACGATGTAGCGTGTTGGTGTTGGTGGTGTGGGGGGGAGGAGTCATTCAGCCATCTGGACATGCAGATTAGAAACACCAGCAACAACAAAAGCAAATGACAGGCCTTTGTTCTACCCAAACGACAGGCCTTTATTGTTCATCAAGCCCCAGAGACTTTACTACCCCAGTGGCCTGGAAACTCCTCCAGATCTTTTCCTATTTACAGTTCACTTTGTGTCCTTTGAAACAAACTTTGGATCACTAGAACAGTAGCTTGTTGCATTGAGTCCTTCATTGATGATCGACATCATGATGATGCAGCCATCCTTACTGAAGTTTAAAGATTGAAGTTTAAGCTTTTGTCTCTTCTTTTTTGAAGATCCACACTCTAAGAACCCTCCATAAAACGTGGCTTTACTATTATTTTTCAATCTGACACAGATTCCAATTTAATGCTGACTTTAGCATCTTGTTTTTGTGATTAGTGCTGTTTAAGCTAAACTGGTGTATTCTGTGTGACCCTTACATTAATTTTGAAATTTCCAAAAGGCCACCAACATTTCTAATTCTGTGTTGTTCCATGATAAAGATTGAAATATCCAACACAGCAAAGTTGCTCTAGTAAGTCCAGCCTTCTGGTTGCCTGCTGAAAGTCTTGCTCTCTCTCACTGTCTTGTAGCCCAAATGAACCTCAAAAACCTGTTGTAGGAAATGATTTTACACATTTTTCCTTTTCATTTTTAAAATTTTTTCATTTTTACTGTACTCAAAACATAAGCTTCATTTTGCATATACAAATCTCTTATTTGTTTCTTTCTTTGCTCAACATACAGAAAGCAAAAAGTGCAACACTTTGCAGGTGAATATTATGTTGTGTGCTTGTCTGAAAATCTGCGATATGCCAAGTATAAAGTTGATGTGAGACATTTTAAATCACTCTTTGTTCATAAGAATTGAACAGTAAACTTCTTAAACATTTATTTTTTCCAATCTAGATTTTATATAGAGATAGTAGGTCAGTCTTATGTGACTGTTTTTGCTGAGCACACGATGCATTTGTTCTGTTTTAAAACACATCTTTTTAAGCGGTAGGGCTATTAAGCAAACATAAAGTTCATAAAATGTATCCACAAACCCAGATTGGCCAATTTAACACAATATGACTCAACCCAGTCCAAGTATTTTGTTTGAAACTGACTCAGTGATGAATTGTCAGAACTGAATGGTTCACCCAAAAAGGTGCAAAGAGCACATTTGCTACAGATTACTTCAAACAATTTTTCTTTTCTCTGTGGCCATTTTGGATTTAATGACTTGATGATTAACTTTTCTGTAATTCTTTCACTATGAAATGTTCATAAATTAACCTTACTGATTTTGACATATTAGAAACTAAACACACGATCATTTGCGGTGAAAACACAGCTAAGAATTGTGGTAACAAAATGGGTCAATGGTTTGTCTTTACCATCCTTCAATTAGTTTTACATTCCATTTGCTCATCTTCCATTCATCAATCTGTTACACTTAAAATTTTTAAAGATTTTGTAGAAGGTCTAAGCTTTGTTAAATTCTCTTCAGTAAAATTATAGTGAACCTTTGGATTTTTTTTTAACTGGACAAAAACAGCTTGAGAACTTTAATTCGAGTCGATTAAAGGACAGATACTGAATTGTCGCATGAAAATCTTTAGGAAACCTGAGAGGAACTATCGTATGCTGATGTTGCAGGGAAGATTTGAGTGAAATCCAACTGATTTTTTTCCGTCTACTCCGTTGTCGCTCTACTTCACAATGAGTGAACACACTACAAAAAACTCATCTGTGTACAGTTGAACCAAACATCTGTTATTTTACATCCAGCTCGCTCCTTTGGTCTCAGCTTGCGCACATGAAGAGTTGCTGCCAAGCTTCCAAACCGTAAACTCTAATTTTGATTCGCGGGACAGTCTTCCTTCCTCGTTGCGTGAGACTTTTCCAAGCAAAGCGAAAAGGGGTTCGCTCATCCTCAGCGCTAGTCAACAGCGGTCATCGTCGGCTCAAGCAAAGTGCATCTGGTACATCAGCGGCCCGTCTTGAGACGTCAACCTTCATTAGGGTCTGCCAGGCTTCACATGCTGACCGTCTAATTTTAGTTTGTCTCTGCGCCATGATTAGATGGCCCAGAACAGACGAGCCAGGCAGCCGGGCCGCTGGCAGCATGAAAGATGAACTTCATTCAGGGGACATAATTAAGTGAAGGATTGGAGGAGGGCGGCGCTGCAATGTGATCTGGTTGGTGGAGGGAGGGCGAGAGAGAAGGATGGGGGAAGATAAGATGGAATGAAACTTTAATGATCCCTTTGGGGAAATTGGGTCATGGGCAAGACCAAAGATCGGGTCAGAGATGGGAATTTAAACAGTCCAAAGAGCGGTAATGCGACCCGCCGAGGGCACCGTTTTATTTGGTAAATGGTGCCGCCGCTTGCTTTGTGGTAAAATCAAAGAGGCACAAAGCTTTAACGGCAACAATCACATTTTCAAATCAAAGTTTCCGATTGCTGTTGGTGGCACGCGAACGCTCCTCTAAACACACCCGCAGGCCTTCTCAGCAGGGACTGTCCTTGCTCAAAGGACGAGGGCTGGAAAGAGCCGTTAGCCGTTTTCTTTCTCGGAGAGGTGTAATTAATTACACAGGGAGCAGTGTGTTTTGGACCAGAGCCCTCACACTGATTGGCTGTACAAGCATTCAGATCCATATCTGCGCCTGTCAGATTTCCTTCACATCTTTTGCTTTGGCACCATCATGCTGTCTCTCCGCTGAGCCTTGCGACAGGTTGTGACAGCAGTCTGTTTAGCATGTAAGGTCATTTAAAAAGGTGATGACCCGAATGCGCGCGCGCGAGAGGAGGGTGATTGATGTCGGGTTGATCTCTGCTAATTATTCGTGATATCCCGAGGCGAGTGTGTCTGTTGAGCGAAGCCGAACGGGTCGCCCGCTAAGTGGGCAGAGGCAGACATGTGGACTTTCAGGTTGTTGGGTTAGCGGAAATGCTTAAAGAAATAAAAACTGCACAGGCTGCAACATGTTCTGCTCAGGGCTTGTTTGTGATTGACCAACACAAACATAAGTGTTGAAATTCTTTCAAAGAAATGTGTTTTTTTTGCGTTCACCCTGGATTGCTCCAACATGAGTATAGAAACCTAAATAAATTCATTGTTGCTCTGCTTTTGTGTTTGTGAGTGCTGGCGTGGCGACAGGTGAATTTCTGTCCCTGGAAGACATGTTAAATATCCAAAATAAATAAGCAAAGCAACAGAAACAAGTCAAATGAATTCTGAAGCCTCCGTCTTTCAAAAAAGGGATAGTTGAGACCAAAGCAGCAGACTCAAGACCAGTTTTGGTAGAAAGAGAGAGAGAAAAGAAAGACGATAAATCAAACCTTAGTTTATAATGCAATTAATTAATTCATTGTTTGTTTATTATGACAGGCCTAGGTCTGGGTTCAGTTGAAGTGAACTTTAGTGCGGTTTGAATGCATATGTGGATCCACAGCGGATGGGAGACTGCTCCAAAAGCAGCGTACTATAGCGCATGGAATTCTGGGTAAATGCATCTAAAACAAATTTGGGTAAAGACGAGAGAAATTTGGGTAAAGACGAGAGAAATGCTACAACCGCTAAAATCTGTCACTACTCCATTTCTGTTTGTTTTGTGTAATAGGAAGTTGTGCAGAAGTTCTCATGTTTGACAGTGCAGTGTGTGAAAGCAAACCTCAACAGCTTAAAATGTGGCAAATGTTGCAGTTTTGGTCGCCAATCAAACTAATCTTCTGGACTATCAGGTGAGAAGATAATGGAAAAGTCCAGAGTGTTTTTATTTCAAGTTTGGAAACGTCTCTTCCCTTTGAACCATTGGTTCTGCTAGCAGACTTTCCACCTGAGCTGGGGATTCATACAGCTCCTCCAGCATCACCACGTGCCTTTTGGGCATTGGATTTAACCTCCAGCCTGTGGGATCTTGGGCTATTGTTTCCTAACCTATGTCAAATGTAACTACATATTTTGGTAGTACAGAAAGGCTGTGTTTTAATTGGGCACCAGTTTTGATGCAGTTATATTACAAAGTAAGGAGTCATATTTTAATCAGACGTTTTTGCCTCGGTGTGGATTTCTATCCATTAGTTTCCACCTTTTTGTGTGTGTGTTGTTGTTTTTTTTTAACAAAAATTACGCATGTGTGTACCTTTTTTATTTTAATTTAATTTTTTTTTTGTTTTTTTTTTGTTTTTTTTTTTTGATCGATTCCAATAATTGATCAAAAAGGCTGGATGGTATCTCTACCATTCAGCTTTAAAGGCTGGATGGCAGAGATGCTGCTGTTGCCATGGTGATGGTCCATTCTCCTCTCTTCTCGCCTTGCAATTTATTTCCTCCCTCTCTTACACTTTGCCCTTTTGATCAGTTTGTCTCGTTTTAATCTCCCTTTCGTACATTGTCTCGGCCTCTGACTTGTCCCACCTTCCCACCCCCTCCCATCCCTTCCGCCGCGCGTGAGGCAGAGCCCACCTCGCGCACGCGTGCGTACTCCCACACATGTTCACGGACATCTGTGACAAACGAGGATGAAAATCAGAAGAAAACAGCAACGGAAAACTCGCTCCCATTTATTCATGCTGACAAGAACTTTCCTCTCTCGGTGCCTCCGCTGCCCGTCAGTGCGCCTCCAGCCTCTGTTGGGGGTGCTGCAGCTCTTTGTTAGTGCCGCAGCTGCTCAGCGAGCTGCTCCCTCACCGCGCCCGCTCAGGAGGGCCCGCCGCTCGCC